GCAGTGGACTCAAGAATCCTCTTGTTTAAACGTAAACCTACTAAGCGAAAATAAGGAAAACATACACATACATACGTTCATACATACAAACGTATATGCAAACATACAAACACACATGCAGAATTATCGATTTTACACTTGAAATAGTTAAATAAGAGATAAAGGATTGGATTATCATACGTATGAAGACACGTTAGGATGCAGTCTGTGTTTCACCCTTTACTGTAAACACAGACTGAACTTTGCATGCACTGAAGAGCGGGAATCGTCAGTACAGCCTCCTACCCACCAAGTACTGAACAGTCATGTAACTAATTTGCAAGACGGGTATAGAAAGGAACGGACAGAGACAGGGAACAGGGGTAGTGAGAGAGAACAGGAAGAGGAGAGAGAGGGAGAAAGAAGAGGAAGTTAACTGTTGATGCGGCAATCATTGTATGCCATACACGACCCAGCATTTTTTTGCGAAGAAAATGCTCACTAGGTCTCTAATTTCTACGTCATCGAAAAAGAATTTGTGTAAAAAGAATAAGAGATTTTTAGGTTATTTTGCTGGAAAAAAAGTCGACAGCGGTGGGAATGTTTTTTTTTTTCTAAACTTTATTCCCAAGAAAAATTTAAAACTTACTTTTTTCTTGTCTCGGTGTTTTTTCTCTTTACGCTCTTTCGATTTCAAAAGTTTTTGATTCTTTTCCCCTAGAAAAAATCAGTGGCTAAAATTAAGGCAATTTACGCAGAACATTTCAATTCAATAACGCCATTCTAGTGCTTGCTTAAAATTAGATAGCTAGAGGAGTCGTATACGATTTTTTTCAAATAAAGTATGATATTCTCTCAAATCTGTACCAAAAATACCTTGGCCGCCCTGTCGAGTATCCTATTTCAGTGATGTCATTAAAATGTTCTCAGATACCAAGCCCAGCAATGCCAGGTCCCTCAATCATGGGCTGTTATCTTCAGTTATCATCTGCTCGATGTATGTGTGCACTCCTTCCAAACAATTCGGGTCGTTCAAACGATCGTTCATTTTTTTGCGAATATTATTTACTAATACGCTGCGCCTTCCGGTTTCCGAAACAAGAGCAACATGCCCATCGAATTTTACTTTCTCATGCAGTCCCAGTATGTTTTCCCTTACTCGGCGGAGAATCCTACCGTTTACATGGTAACGAATCTACTCAAATAAAAAGAAAACGTACGTTCTGTTTTGAAAGCAACGTACGGCTTGGATTCGTTGGACAATGTAGGCGGTAAAGCTGGCCCAAACTGCTCATTTTC